CATATTATTACCATATAGTCTTGCTACTTCCATAGCAGTACTTAGTTTTAAAGGGATGGGGTAAATTACTGTTTTGCCTTGCTTTCCTTCCCTTCTCATCCATTATGTATCACTTCCCAAGCCCTGGACTTTTCACCTTTTTGCGAAATGAAGCTTCTCACAATTTCCAGAGTACTGCTAGCACTGTTCAGGTCTGAAATACAATATGCCTATTATATTTTTTGCCATAATTCTGCCATTTTCCTCAGTTCTGACTTTCAGGTGCAGACTGACACAACCTTTTCTATAGGTCTACATTACTTGAGCAGCTCTTTCTTTCTTATTTTGCCATGTACTGCGGCACTGATAGGGACTATGCCTTGCTAAGATAAATCTTTGCAGCTCAGGATTAGCAATGCTTGGGAGTAAATTCTCACTAGGGACGTGTTAATCTTCTAGCATAAAGCTGGAAAATGATTGAGGTGTCCTTTTATGTAGTGAATGCCAAGGACCTGTCTAATAGAGGCAACAACTCCCTTGAGATCATCAAAATATGCCTGTAGTATGGGATTTGGGTTCTTTTTTTTCAGTATCATCTCTTTTCTTGATTTAGTTTTGTTTTAAGAATATTCATGGATCAGTCTGCACTAACCATAAGATACATCTATTTCTTAAACTTGAGGTAGCCCCCAAAAGATGTCCACACACTAATGTCAACATAGGCCTGTTAAACTCCAATATTATCAGTAATCTCTAATGGCTAAATTTTAAGCCACTGACATCAGGGCCAGAAGTCCTCTGAATGTCCAAAGCATTAGGATTTCTATCAAGGTATATTTCTCCAAAAAAAAAGGAAATTATTTCAGTGACATTGAATCAAAGATGGTTGCTTGGCCCCATGCATAAAGTTAAGAGAATGTACAGGAGAAATAAATGGTAAGTGAATATGAGGCAATAGTGCATGGAGCGTATCATCACCTTGACAGCTCATTTTTTCTGACAGACGACTTCTCGGTTATTAGGTCTGTCCTAAGGAGTTTTGTTAAAATTGCAGCCTAAATCTAATTCATTTCTAAGCAGAAATGTCCAGTGTGGCTGAATACAACAGCAGCATTTATGCTGTGGACAATTGTGTGCTAGAGAAATGTCTAAGATGTCTCTAATGAAAAGTGTGTATCATTTACTTCTCTAGAAAATTAGTGGGAAGAACTGCTTAAAAAGGAATAACTTTAGCTGATGGAAAACCAGGTTTTATTGTGAGCAAAATCTCATCATCTTACAATATCTTTGAACAAAGGCTCAGATAAAAGCTTAAGTCTAGGAGATTCACAATGTCAGAAATGCAATTTTCAGACTAATCTTGTATCTGATTAGCTTCAGTTTCAAACAGATGGTATGCGCTAGTGTTTCGATACTGTGAATTTTGTTTCTTTCTTTTTTACCTCTTCTTTATTCTACCCTGAAAACTCATCATTCAGCAATTAAGCATATGATAATAATTTCTCACCAACGTTAGGGAATGCATCCTCAAGTCCCACCCTCTTCATTCTGCTTCTAGCATGTCTCTTCTCAGAAATAGTTGGGGGGTACACCCGTAAGCCAGATAAAGCACTAATGTACTACATAATTGGCCAGTATGCGCCCAAATACAAAATTTAAATCCTGAAATTTTGTATGTAGCTGACAGATAACCCTAGAGGAGTTTAGGTTCCTATCTCACTAAAAGTTTGAATTCCAAGTGTAGGTATGACAGTATTTAAATTAATATTTCAGTATAAAAAGGGAAAACATGAGAAATGCAACTCACGTTACCTCTTTTAGACATCTACTTTAGGATGAAATGAATCAAGTTAATTTTGACTAGGAAGGTAATATAAACTACTCACAGAAATGTGGGCATGCAAAGTGTGAAGTCACCTGGGTTTCTACCAGTAAAGTTCTCCAGAATTCAAAAGTCTACTCCAAAAGAATTTTTAATTTTTTTTCAGCTAGGGGTTGTAATTTAGTTCTAAATTTGTAAAGTAGCTAACGCAAGACTGTGTTGTCCGTGACTTGAACTACTAAACTCAGCATTAGTAACCCTACTTCAGCAACTAATAAAAAATCTTTTTTAAACAAAAAGAAATAAAAATATTTTTCCTATAACTCAAAATAACTTATTTTTGCCCTCAACTACACCAGAAACATATATTAAGTCTGTTGGTTCACTGGTCCAGTTTATCTGCAGTTAGACTGGAGAACTTCTCTTGTTACATTCAAGAGCCAAGTCTGCAGATTATCCATTTCTAATTTAAATGATTTTTGTAATGTTGAACACTTTCCCTGCCTACAAATCGGGATTCATAATGCTCACTAGCTGCACAGCCTGCCAAAAGTAATGGCTTGTGTTGGTAGTGGAGTTTGCTTGTATGCCAAGCATATGGTGCCCTTCAGCCCAGTCCTCAGAGAACAAGCCGGTCCAAGGTCTGCAGAATGTGACTGCATTGCATTCGTTCAGTCCCGTACGTAGGCATATGTGCACTCACACATACACTTACATGCACACATGGTCCTCACAAGGAGCATTAACAGCTTTTTTAAGGAAGACATCTATTAAGTGATTGACTTGAAGCAGTCCTTTATGGGTTGATTGCATTTGAGTCAAGGAGTCATTGACTGCTTCGTTTGAATGTCTCTGAACTGAGGAGGACAGTACTAAGAAATCTAGACAGCCGCATGGCAGCTCTGTGGTGCTAACACACAGGACTTCAGAAGAGAGATGCCAGCAGGTTGAGGGAGGTCATCCTTCTTCTCTACACCTGGAGTGCTGCATTCAGTGCTGGGCTCCTTAGTACATGACAGACCTCGATATACTGGAGCAAGTCCGGCAAGACTTGCCACAAAGATGACTGGAACATCTCTCTGCCAGGGAGAGACTGAGAGAGCTGGGACTATTTAGTCTGGAGAAGACAAAGCTCAAGGGGGACCTTGTCAATGTGTATAAATGGCTGATGGGAGGGTAAAGAAACAGCAAACTTTTCTCAGTGGTGCACAATGAAAGCACAACCTGAATTATAGGAAATTCTATTTAAACATAAGAAAAAACTATTATACTGTGAGGGTGGTGAAACCCTGGAACAGGTTGCCCAGGGAGGTTGTGGAGTTTCCATTCTTGCTGATATTCAATACCTGACTGAACAAGGCTCTGGGCAGCTTCGTCTGGTTGTCCTTGCTCTGAACAGAGAGGTTGCACCAGATGATCTTCAGAGACCCCTTCTCACCTTAACTGGTCTGTGCTTCTGTGACTTGCATAGGCAGTGAACATAATAATTAATTTGCACCTATAAAAAGACCTTTTTATGTAGTTTTCTTTTCACTCTACTTATAGCGTTCCCTCTTTGAGGAAAGGTTGGGCAAGTGTTAAGAGTGAACAGGAAAGTGAGGATGGTTCCAAAGTGTTTGGAAGGGTTATAGGATTACTGGTGTTCATCTGCTTTCCAGATCCTTTCCACTTGTCTGAGTCAAACTCTAGCAAATCCTTTTGTAATATTAGCAGAATTCTTACTATTAAATTTATACAATCGAATGTAGGTGCCCACAGTGTACATTTCTTCATCAGAGGAAGTTATCCTGAATATCCCTCTGTAGTTAATGCAGAACTAGTCAATCTAATAGGTGAGATTTAGGTCATTTTAAAGTTTATGTCTTTATTCAAATGACCCCCACCCTAAAAACTCATTGGCTATATTGATTAGATCTGTAATTGCTGTTATTGGAGCCTGGACAGATACTCAGATGGAGGTATTTACACCTTAAATTGGCTTAGATGAATGTCATCTCCAGTAGGGAACCCTTTGTCACTAAAGAAGTTGGTATTTCTAATAGCTTTTTGCAGTGTTTATATAAATGCAAGGCAGGAGTTGTCTTCTATGCTTTATACATACAGGACGGCACACAACGGATGTCTGATTTCAGAAGATCATCTAAATACTACCATATTATGAACAATGTTAATAATTGACATATAATACTATGTGCATGGTTTTGCATTGTATTTGCTTGGGGGGAGTATAATTTCTGTTCTGTTTTAACTTACTGTTAATTTACAGCTTACAGTAAAGCATATTTAAATTAAAAAAATGTTTCTAAACTTTTCAGCAATAGACAACCAAAAATTGAGTTGTGATCATTTATTTACTTCCTAATAATAACAGGTCATTTCTCCATCCGCATCCTATCCCTTGATTCCACCTAGGACCGGTTTTTCTACCGAAGCAGGAATTCAAACAATATTAGTAAAGAAGAACACATATGCAAACACTACAAAAGCCTGCTTTTATTTTTCATGTTGATGCTTCCTACAAATGAGGGCAAAACATACAATTTGTCTAGCCTTAGAAGATTACTGTGCTGATGTGTATCTTAGAGGTCATCGTAGTAGGCTTCTCTTATAATAATTGGAGAGAAACATGCACTTTCATAAAAAAACTTACCTCTTAAAAAAACTTACCTTTTAATTTCCGTTAACTGTCTACATTATACAGTGTAAGTGTTTTATATTGTAGAGATCTGCATGTGGTAAGATGAATATTTCCTATTAAGCTAAAATGCATACTGGCTTCACTGTACGAAAAAAATAGAGAATGGACCAATATTTCTTAGATATTGTGAAGTGAATCAATGCCACACTATCAATTCTACACCTAGAGTCTCATGCAGGAAAACACTTTTTAAAAACTAGACTCAGCATCCTTCAGTATGGGAGCTGCTAGCATTGAAGAAAATCCACTCATTTTACATTAGGCTAGACCCAGTCTTTTCTTATAAGTCTGTTTTATCTCTACCCTCAGACTCCCCACTCCTACTTCTGCAATTACTTTAGACCAGAAACAGCAAAATAACACTTTTCTGAGATTGCGTCTACTTGTTGATTATGCGTTTTGGGACCATCTTGAGCGTCCATCCTTCTATCAGCAAGAACTTTATATCAGCAAATCTCTGGGAATCCCATGAATACTTATCAGTTATTTTTGCTTTTGCAGAGCCCCTGATCACCCCAGGAAGTGGGATGGATCCTCAAGGCATTTCACATTCAGGCCCTACGTCAGTGTCTGCTTTCCTGATTATGTTGTGTTAAAACTACTATAACCAAGAAACACTGCACTTGTATGAAAGAAAGGTTAAGTTTTATACCATGTATTAGCATAATTGTGAATAAGTTTTCCCTTTTATTTCCTTCATTGAAGACATACCGTGTTTGACCTTGCGTTATGGATTTTAAAAGAATCCCTTGTGTGTCCAGGGAATGTTATTTCTTTGCCTCCAAACTTGATATTTTGTGTGCTGTAAAATATGTAACTGTTAATTCATCTTTCTTGTTTGTGTTTTTAACATGCTTCTGATTTCTACTTTTGTTCATTTTAAACCATGCAAGTTAATCATCTGTTTCGTTTAATTCTTTTTTACTGTTTTTTGGTAAGTTTTAGACATCTTCCAGCTCAGATTCTCATACTGTGCACTGCTGCTTTAAAATTTGCTCTGCCAGATCAGAATTAAGCCATTTCATAATTACATATGCCATCTGCAAACAGATCAGTTAGGTGCTTAGCTGATCATGGGATCATGCTCAGAATAACACATTTATTTTTGAGAAACAGTAGTGAACAAATAGGACAAATGAGCATTAAGATATAATATTATCCTTTTTTTTCAAAAAGTAAAAGATATTTGATCTGGTTGAAAAAATCAGGAAAAGTGTGTCATAAAAAATATCAATTTTTTTATTTGTTTCCGTTCCATACATTTCAATGAAGCCAGCACCTGGGATTTTGTTCCATTTTCCCTCACAATATTTTCTACTGAAAACATGATTGAAAATGCCATTTAAATCCATCTTTAAATGTGTCATGTACTATAAATGCAGTTTTCCTCCAGTAAATAAAACATTTCAAAAATGATTTTAATTAAAATGTCATAGGAAGTATTGAAGAGAACTTCACAAAGTGCTATGTTGTCAATTCTTCGTAAAAAGTTACATCTTTTGGCCAAAATGTGTCTCACTAGAAGAACAAAAATGAACAAGCAAAAAAACAGAACAACACCTAGCTCTATATGACATGTATTTTTGGTTACCATGAAGGTTTAGAAAAGACTAAAAATGTCAAACTAGATTTTCACCTGCTGCACTGATTTCAGTTATGCTACTCCTTTTCAAAAAGCGGACAGTCTTTCATCAGTTCAGTTTGAGCACAGAAAATACTCCATATATTACCCTATTACTCCATATAATACCCCATTCAGGGTCAAAACTGTAAAACTTCATAAATCAGTACAATTATTTTGGATGAAGAAACAAAAGTCAGATCTTCAGCTGGTTTATTTCTAAATACAGTAGGTGAAGTCTATGCAACTAAACCATTATGGGTAAAATGCAATAGCTGCTATTAAAGAAAGGCAATTAATGGAATGCTACTTTTCCAAGTAAATTTAATACTGGAATGAAGTTAAAAATGATGATACCTACTGCTTTACTGAAACAGAGCACTACGTTTATTGCCAGCGCAAACTGCAATATGATACTATCAGCAAATTTGGCAAACCCTCTAGTGATGAACACGATTTCCATCTAGTCAGTAAGAACTGACATAAACCCAGTTCATAGCCGATTGCAAGCAAATATTTTGAGAGCCTGGAGCTGCATGTGAACGAGGGATCCAGAGCAAACAATCCTTGCCCGTTCACTAATCCCGTTCATTAAGAGCTCGGTGAACCTCATTAGTAGGATGCGGTGCAGAGACAGTCTGAGGGAGCTCTGAGTGAGCCAGCTCATGCAGCAGATGCATTTGGCATGGCTGGCCCGGGTGAAACCTTTCTCTACCAAGACTACAAAGGCTGCCTGGCTTAAAGCAAGCGTGAAATCTCTACATGGCAATAGGGACATCCTCTGCCTGTTGTGCATTATAGACTAGGTTATAATGGGAAATATTATTTAAACCAAAAAAAAAAAGAAACAAAAAAAAAGAAAATCTGTTATATTGCTATAAAACAGTGTGTTCATGCTGAAGATATGTTTACTATTGCTTCACTTACTTCTGCCTTCTTCCTCACAGCAAATTAATCCAGCAATGCCGTTAAACACTTGTTTATGCTACTGATGCTTCTGTCCATTTGGATGAAAAATCCAAAATGAAAATGAAATTTTTCATGGATGAAAATACTTAGTGTGTTTCTTCTTTACAATATCACAGGCAGAGTCACTGAGTCCAAGGCCTTCCAACAAGAGGCAATTCAATTTGGAAAGATCCCACAAGCCAACGTCATGGGGGGAATATGAGAACAGGATATGTCGGGGAGAATTCTAATAAAACCTTTTTTCATGCGTGTTCCTGAGGAGTTAGTGCACCCTGGCAGCAATGGAAGATAAGTTAAAAAAGATCTTGACAAAATAAATTAAAAAGAGGCACAATGGAAATATAGTGAGCTAAGTACCCAACTCAATTATTAAGCTATCAGACCGTCTTAAGAAAGGAAGCTTTTTTTTTTCTAATTCCTTGAGGACAAATATGAACATCAAGAAAGCACACCTGTGTAGGGTGCTGTTAGCATCACTTAGACAAGCCATTCACAAGCCAGTGAAATTTCTCACATCTTAGATCTTGCAAAGGGGGACCGTGACCAAGGTCTACAAAGGGATGTCAGCGTCACAAGTAATACTGCTGTACCTACCATCAAGGGCTCAAGGATCTGTTTGACCCTTTTTCTCCTTTCAGAACATATCTGGAGACTTAGTTACTTGTATATGGGCTACGTAAATCTGCTATGCTGGGGAGACGCCTACTTAAGCCAACCAGAAGGAAGTCCTGAGGAGCAGTGTAAGTTGTCAAACCTGCACTACAGGACACAAAAACAGAGGTACTGATTCAGCTCAAGGGTCCATGTCTTCTGGTGTTCAGCCCCTTGCACTTCATAAAAGAGCACCTAGGGGAGAGAAAAAAAGCACGTACAAACCTTTCTCCCTAATAATCTTTCAGCCTCCAACTATTTTTCCTGATGCTGATGTGGCTTACCTACTTAGTCCCACTAAATGTATTTCTCTTCTAAATTCTTGGATAGGATTGCATGGAAGCTGTGAAAACTTTCTGCATCAGCAAAGTTCATTGTAAAGGAGTTTTACTGCTTTAGAGGAAGTCTACTATCTACAGAGCGAGAAAAAAATTTATATTTTTTGGTTTGAACATGGCTCCTACTGCTATTGTTTGATGTCCCTTTTTTTTTAATGGAAAAAAATGTTTCACGGTCTGTCCCAATATACTCTTTCCATTCAATCACGATTTTGCAGACATCTATCATATATCCCTTAAACTATCTCTTTTCCAGGCTGAACAGTCCCAGCTGACTTAGCCTTTCCTTGTGCAGAGGAACCTGTACAAGGAACCTTTTCTCTGAACCTTTTCTAATTCAAATGTATCCTAATATAGCCTAATATAACTGGGGACTCACATCCGAATTGTAGGGACAACCTTCTAACTCACCCATCTCCTCAGTCAGGCTTCACAAAGCATGCATCCTCAGCTAGATTATTTACCAAAAATTCCAGGAAGTGGTAAACTTTCAGAGTGCATGTGCTGAACACCAAGCTGTCTCAGTGGAGAATGAAACAGTTTCAGCCCATCTTCCACAAGATTTCCATGGAACGCTTGTATAGCCATTACATTTTAAATGGGGTAGGAAAAGTGGAAAAAAAAAAGAGGAAAGAGAGAGAGAAAGAGAGAAGGAAAGCAAATGTTTCTAATAGTGTACTTGGATAACTTGCCCTGTCTACGTGATTTATTCTTTCTGTCGATTGTACAATGATACTAAACAATAACTGTAGACTATATTCCTAATTTTTAGACAGCTATAGCTAGCTGAAAGGAGCCTAGTATATAATTTAAGTTGCTTTATACTAGCAAGGCATCTATTATCCTCTGTGCGTAATGGGCTTTGATCCAAAGCCAACTGAAGTTGTTGAAAGTATCAGATGCTCTATTTTGCCGTTCACTAATTCTGATAATTTCTTAAGCAGTGTCAGAGAAAACAGAATGGAAATGGCAGTGACTGGCACGTTTCTCCTCTTTAGCACTTCAAGCTTCTAAAGCATATGGAGTGAAAGTGAAGAACGATGGGGCAGGTCAACAGCTCACTCTCTAACTACTTATTAATCTACAGTTCTGTCGGTCTAAGGGGCCTCGAGACACTGCAAATGGCTGCAATTCATCCATTTAGTGTAAGTGCATTAACCCACATAATTAGGTGCAGCCTCTTCCAAAGCAGCAGCCCAGAGCATATTAATGATCACTCACATGGATTCTGAACTATGTTTCTTGTATGTTCATTCGTTACAGGCTTCCAGGCTGTGGAACTGCGTTGAACCTAATTAGACCACAAAGAAATATGGTTATAATTGGTCCGGACAGCTTAGTAAAATATACTAGGGTAGTTTAATTGAAAGCTTCTTTGTATTAATGATTTCAGAATTTATCTTTTGCTTTGGACAGTGAGCCAACTCTGCCTTACCTTGTCATGGAAAGCAGATGAATAAAACATACGATGATGAGCGGTGATTTGGTTGATGATTATATGCAGCAGTGGCAGAAACCGATGAGCTTCACAATGAAAGTCATGGATTCCTGATCCCTGGATGCTGCTAGAAACTGCAATGTCTGCGTTACGTTTATTAGATGAGATTTAGGAAATATGCTAGGTTACTGCTGTTTGTAACCTATATTCCAGTGAATTAAAGGTACAGCCAGTGCCAAAATCCCTGTTGATCATAGCTAGCAACTATGGGGACAAGCATAAAAACAAATAGAGACCTACTATCAAGATGAACATGTCAGATTTTTTGGTTGATATGAACAGGGGAAAGAGGCCCCTATAAGGAGGTTGTGGAAAATATGCAGGAAATTGAGTATTTAAAAGATCTACCTTGCTAATTTATTAGAGGGTTTTTATTTGTTTGTTTTGGGTTTGTTTTTTTTTTTTTTGAAACTTCTATAAAAGCTAATGAATCTTCAAAGCACCATTCTTTGGCTCGTGGAGCAGAATTGATTAAGAACTAGAAATAAGACCCTCGTGAAAATGGATACCTTTGACTGTACAGTATCAGGACACAGCTATTTCAGCTAGAAAGTTGATGCTGGACTAAAATTAGGTCCATGGTGGGTTAGATGTCAGAGCACAGTAAGAACCAGGAAAAAAACATTAGAGTTTGTTGGGTTTCCACATGTAGTGAATGCATTGGTCTTGTCTCCAGACTTCTTAAAATATACAAAATAAAACATAAAAATAATTGGTATGTTCAGAGCTGCGGGGAGCGTGACTTCTTAAAATATGCTAGGAACGTGCATCAATCCAATGCACAGACAAGGGAGAGAAAGTGAGAGGGAAAGGGAGGGAAGGAGAGAAATTCATACGGGTGCAAGTGTAAATACAGATGTTCAAGGTGATAAACATGACCACAGCTAATTTGTAGCTTTTACAAAGTTGGCTACAGACACTCAGGTTTACAGAAGTGCAGTGAACCACAAAACTGGGATTATAAATTAGGGCAGATTAAAGGGAGACTGATGCATATATACTTTTGTGCATGTCTAGGTACACCCTACTGATTCTGTAAATGCTTAAATCCCATATTTATTCATATGGAGATCCTCAGATTCCCTGCTCCTGATCCCACAGTCAGCTACACCGCCATGGTGCTGCACTTTCTCCTATCATCTCCAATGATCAGGAGATCTATTTCTTGTAGTTTTAAGGAATGACTTCAGTCAAGTTTTTTAATGACTATGGATGACTCCCATCTGTTTCAGAAGTGATTTGCCAACACATGTGGGAGGAGAAGACAATCTATGTGGAGACAGCTGAACATTCATGCATGAAGAGGATTCAGAGGTTATGAACATCTAGTAAAGACAAACAGCTTTATTTTTTTCCATATGTGTAACCAGAGAGACTGGATTTCTGGGTGGATGTTGCTGTTATTTCTTCTGTTAATGTGACTGGATCTTCCAAAGCCAGCGTGGGTTTTAGAGATGTGAGCGGGGTCAAGTTTGGCCTATATGAATTAAAGTAGGTTCCTCATCCTTGGTCCTACCAAAAAGTGAAAGCAAATATCACCAACTAATCAGTGCTTTAAAATATAAGTGACGTATTTGAGGTAAATACTTCTGTCGTTACACTAACTACGTGATTCGTCTGGGCTGGGAGATGTCCTTTTGCCCTCTTCTAAAGGACAAGAAGAGGACAGTTTTCAAAGACGGAAGAAGGGCAGATGCACAGCCATGCACTGATGACCCAACCTGCACCTCACCTCACATCCTGCACACATCCTCTCATATGGTGTTATTCTCTGCAGCTAGTGAATCGTTGGCTCTAAACCAGTTTGATTTTGCCTGATTCACTGCTGAGCAACGTGAC